GTATACCTATGATGAAAATTACAGGCCTCTCTCATCTTTTTAAGTGGGAGAACTTACACAACTGGTGGCTGACTACATACTTTTTTGCCCCACTGTACATTTGATGAGTTGGATTGCAGACACAACACAAGTAGAGCACCAGTAACTATTCTGAAAACTACACATTAATCCAAGAAAAAGTATTATACAAGTTTTAAGCCAAAATAACTTTTTATAAATGTCACTCTTTTAAAAGTCCTATTTTATTTAGACTTTCTAAATGCGGGATCTTTCTCTGAAAAGTGCTGCTAGAAAATGTCTTTTCAAGCTTTTTTTCAATGCAGTGAAAAACAACACACAACTGGCAGAGGCAAGGAATATTTATACCTATGGAATTATAAATCAGAAAGGTAAAACATCTATATACACATTTGTAAAATTTATTTCAACTTCTATTTCATGTCATCTGCAGAGTAGGGAACAACAGAATCCAAAAGCAGTGAATTACTCAGGAAATACACACACTCACACAAACACATACATACATATCAGACAAAAAATTCCATACTTCCAAGCAGTTTCTCAATATATTTAGGTTAATATTTGGACAAATTTCTAAGTACAAGAAGCTCTGCATTTTGAAGCATCTCTTTTATGCCATTAGGTTCTGATTCCAAATGTATCAGTACTGTACTGAAGAGGGCAATTTCCAGCCTTCAAAAGTCCCACATTACGAAAATCAAAGGCACAGGTATAAAAGTTAAATATGACCATTACTAAGTACTTTGCTGGTCACTGAGTGTAAATAAAATTTTCTATTACTAAGTAACGAACAGGAAAAAAAAACTGAAAAGGAGGCCAGTAATAGCATCATTTGTTTTTGTTGTTTAAACACATTCTAAGGTAATTTTTGACAGGGTTTTTTTTTTGCAGCTCCCAAAGCTCTCTCTTATTTAACCTGCAGACAATTCTCTCCTTTGATTGCATTACTGAAATTTGACATCATAATTTTTTGTCAGTTTGAAGCAGGATATGAATGAAAACTGAAGTGTAAGATGAACAGGCTTAACGTAGTTCTTTTAAAGGATAATTACAATCCAACTACCCAAAAAAGAAAAAGAAAATCTTAAAATATTCCAGCTTCACTCACCTTCATCAATCAGTGATGCCCACTGTGGCCTTTTCTCCTCAAGAGCTTTCAAAAACACTCAACCACCACAAATTTATTTGTCCTTACAACTGTTGTCCAGGCTATACAGCTTGGCTCAGTGTCTACACTGATTCTGGTCACTGATCAAGGCTGATCATCACCAGCTGATAAACATAAAATCCTGTACCAAATGGTGAGCTATCCAGTAACTGGAAGGGTTGACCATTTGTGTTCAACAACAATTTTCTTGACCATAACCCCAAGATAATTGTAGTTACTATACAGCTCAGCTTTTATTATGCCGCTCACAACTCCCAAGGATTTTTCTGTATGAGGAGGAATACAGGTAATAAAAAGCCATTTTCTAGCCCTGCCTGGCCAACCCATTTTCTTCTCTCTTGGCACTGATGGATTGCTGAGAGGGGCAAAGCAAGGCACAGGACCAACACCTGTGCTCCCAATACCACACGGCAGCTGACAAAGAGGCTAATTCATGAGTGCTAGCACCAGACTTGTTCCTGAATTTCACTTTTGGAAGTTCATTTAAGCCTAGTTCCTGGGTTAGCTTTAATGAAGGTCATCATTTGGAGGATTACTTTATAAAAGTCTTCCTTTTATATTTAAATTTTAAATGAAGAATGCCCATATACATTTCTGGTATCGCAGGAACCTTTGAACAATATCCACTATTTACATATGTTCTGATACACATGCTATACTCCAAAGCTGAAGCAACCAGGAGAGTATGCCTTAATTTTTTTTTAGATCAACAATCTCTGTGGTACTTCATAGTATAAATATTCTATGTCAAGCATCAGAATCCACTTGGCATTCTTTTTTTATTATGTAGAAATGTATGTATTTGTAAAGCAAAAGTCTTACATTTGCCATAATAAATCTTTATAAATTAATTAAAAATACCAGATTAGTATGAACATATATATTGTGCAAGCACACATCCCAAGCTGGATGAACCAGTATGTTTTACTTCTGTCTCAACTTACAGAAAAAGGGAGAGATGTTTTTCTATTAATATGTTCACAGTGCCCCAGCTTGCACAGGGCAAGATTCCCATGTTCAATTTTTTTTCTTTGCAATGAAGAGGTCTAGAAATGCCCTATTAAAAAACTATCAGGGTATTATGACCCTATGTAAAGTACCAGACACTTGTCTTCCTGCTTTTCTTTTTTTCATTCAACTCTAATCATGTAAGCTCTGACATATTTATGTTGAACAATTTCACAACCAATAACTATGTATTTATGAATTAGCTTTAAACATACCTGGAATTTCATTGGCTACAACTGAAGGAGGACTGGACTGATTACTGGTCATTTGCTGATGATTTATCATATGACAGCACTGTGGAACTGCATTATTTACCATGTAGAGGGTATCTGGTACATTGGACATTCTAACCATCCGTAAACGGACGAGGTCAGTCTGTTCCACCATCATCTCATCCAGAACTGACTGAAACAATAAAGGTAAAAGAAATGTTTACTGAATATTTGCTCTAATGTATTGATATAAAAAGCTAATAAATACCAGATATATCCTTCTTTTCCAAAAAAAAAAAAGACCACATAATACCAGATAAGAATAGCTAACAGAATGTTTACTTTTTCAGGAAATACAGTTTCTTTTCCTTTACATATCATTTTATACATTCTTTCTATTAAATATGGGCAGCTTCTACTCTTATGACTCACTGATCCTTTTTTTCCCCTCATAAACCATTCAGATGACTTTCAATAGCGTCACTAATATTCAAAGAAGCTACTTTGCTGATGTGGGTCTTCATTCATCAATCTTACAAAAACATACCATCTGCAATATTGCTTAAGCATGAAGACTGCTGAAAACCAAAAATTTCCTCAGTGAAACATTCAAAGATCTCACTGTACGAGGAACAGGGGTACAAAAAGTCTTTAGACAAAATTTGGCATTATAGTACAAACTGTCTTGTTTAAAGTACAATACCACAGAAACAGAAAACGGGATCAAATTTCACATTGTATGACATTCTGGGAAACTGAACTGAACCAAAGATCTGGATTTTCTCTCCTTCCACCTCTGGTGGGCAGAAAGAGGAGGGTAGAGGCTTTCTTCCTGAAAGCAGTCTGCAGAGAAAGACATCTTCCACAGAGAGGGAGAAAGTGTACAATTGTTCTCAGCTTTCTTCTGTGCATTCTCTTTCTGTTGCAAATGAAAGAACACAATCCCTTCCCTCCAGGTACAGAAGGATGCTGACAGTAATTGCTCAGTTCTGTATAGGAAGAAGATGCCTTCCTCTGTCCAGACGAGTCAGAAGGTCTCTGTAAATGTTTATATGGGTATGGGGTGAATGGGAAGGGGGAATGCTCAGGAGAAACTCAAGAGATGAGGGGAAATTAAATCAATCTTCCAAATGTGTTCAGCAGGCAGAGTAATTGGCATGGAAGAAAAGATCTGAATTCTTGTTCTATTGGGGATTCCAGCACTGAAGAGATGGAAGCACGTCTGTCCTCTAATTTACCAGATACGCATATACTGTAAAGAGTCATTAGTGAATCCAGGATGAGAACTTGGAAAAAAGGGAAGACTTAGGATTCAGGGATATTGATGTCTGCCTGCAGAGGTCCGTTATAGGTTTCAAAGTCATCTTAACCTGGGCACTTTTGCACTTCAAACTCATAATATTTTTTAAACATCATTCTGGATATAGAACACCCTTGGTCAGATGAGTTACATGGCAGGCTGGGTAACTGCAAGCTAATTATGAGTTGGATGGCAGCATAAATACATAGTTTTCTTAGTACCTTAGCCTCCTCCACATATGGTGAAAACAGCCTTGGCCTCACATAAATTCCAGCATTTTTTTGTCGCAGCCACACATTCGATTTTCCACCTTCTGCTGTTGGCAGCATGTCTGAAGGAGGTGTACTAATGAGACCTCTCTTCATCTTAAAAAAAAAAAAAATTCCACCACATCAGGCATGTAACAATTATTTTTAAATATAAAGCAGCAAATCACATACAACTTGAAGATAGCCATAAGTCAAGAATAACTGAACTATACCCCTACCAAATTTTTAAAAACTGACTGAAGAATCATAGCAAGTACCCACAAAAGCCTCCCAAACCACAATAAATTTTATATGATGATCTAAAGCAGGAATGGGAGCCAATGGATCTGTTGGATATCAACAAATAGACATGTCCCTGAACCTGACTGGACTCTTCCCGGTCCATATTTTCTCTCTGCACTTTTCTCATGGACAGCAGCATAAAAAGCAGGGACTTTTGCTTCACCAAACTGAAGCAAAACTTGCTTGCTTCACCAAACTGAAGCAGAATTTAAAGGAAACTTAAAAAATATACTTACAGAATCTGTCAATACTTCACTGTTCATAGGCAAGATGTGCTCAGTGCGGACAAACGGTAAGAGAGGAGAAAGGATTTCTTTTAATTCCTCAATATCAAGATCTCGCCGTTTTACACCACGCTTGTTCACACTATGAGCTGTGCCACTCAGCAGATTGGGTTCTGTGAGGAACAAATTAAATAGGCTGTTTTATTTATGTGTTCTTACTAAAAAAGACCCTTTTTTTTTTTTGGCTAAAGCCAGCTTATTTATTCTGATTTTTTTTTGTTATTTCTTATTTATGAATATTTTTTTGTTATTTCTTATTTATGAATATTTTTTTGTTATTTCTTATTTATGAATATTTTTTTGTTATTTCTTATTTATGAATATTACTTATATGACATCAGATCTTAGAGCAACTTACAGTAAAAATTAATCCAAATAAAAGAACTTAAGCTATAAAAACTAAAAAAGGTAGCACTTTTTAAAAAGCAAAAATATATGTTCCCTAAAATATAGATGCTAGAAGCTAAAGTCAAAGTAACAACAGAGTCAAGATGTTTCTGTTTTTTTGCCTTTCGATTTTTGGGACAGTGTTGTTTTCCTTTTGTTTTAAAACCTATATTAAGCTTATTTTAGTGCTGACTGTATAGTTTTTGTCTATTTTCTGATTTCTGTATGGTTGGAAGGGGCTCTGCTGACCAGAAAAGAGAGTTTGGCAGGCCCATGCTAAGCCCTGATTTATATTTTCATTAGGATTTTAATATCATAGCATCCTAGAACTACCCTTTCATCACTGCAATATATACTACACCAGTCAAATATTTGTACTACATGTAAACATTTAGTGGCCTGGCAAACTGGACTATCAGCTATGTCTTGGGGTTTTTACTTCAATATTCTAATTCAAAGAATGTGAAGCATGGTATACACATTTATTAGCTAGTTAAGTTTTGTTGGTGCAAAACACACATACAACATAAACAAATGAATATATAAGGAATGTCAGAGTTGTAGTGGATAACTGCAATATCCACCTAATGTGTACAAAGGCCTACCTAGGTTCCAGAATGGGAACTACTTTCGTTGTAGACAAAAATGGAATAAATCTCAGCATGTTAGCTTCATAAGCACTGTATTTCACAGTAAAAAGTATGTTTCAGTTAGGATTTTAAAATTAAATATAATAGTTTCCACATTAACAATGAAACATAATATCCATTAAACCCCTACCTCGATCTGCAATTCTTTTTATCAACTGATGTTCGCCCCATTTCACAAGGTATTTCAAGACATCTTGCTCACTTGCCTATTGAAGAGGCATTTAAGACAAAGCATGAAAACACACAGTCTTAGACCAATCCACAGCATCATCAAATTAACTCTTAGGCTAACAATAATGCTTAATCTAATGAAGTTTAGATTAATAATAAATTACAGCTAATCAAGCTCCTTAATGCCAAAGATTTATAACACAATATTCTACTGTTGCTCATAGCATTTCAGTAAAAATCCTAAAGTTTTTATTACCATCACTGCTAATTCTACAAAGGAACTTTCTTACAGCATTTTACTTTTTGTTACTGGCGGGTGAAGGTGGGGACCGACAACTTTCAGTCTCCTTCAAATTGATATGCCTTTAGGGGGCCTTTTGAGGCCTGTTTGTTGTGTGAAAGTGTCTAATAATGTGTATCTGGACATTGTTTGCCCCTGGTGCAATGGTTTTTATGGATGTGTTACAACTTTTTGTATTTTGTTCCATACAATGCTGATATTTTTAATTCTTTATAAGCACTCAAAGTGGCTTAATGAGAGAGCAGCACTGAAATATAAAGATGAATACAGAGAGAAAACTATAGTAGGTATAACACTCCCCCTGCTTGGAAAGGAATCCTGCTTCTTGCATTGCAGAACTGAAAAGTGAAGAGAGCTGGGCAGTTGCTGGGAGTAGGGCAGCATATAAATGTAATAAATTATTATTATTAATATGAAATCAATGGGGTACCAGATATCCTTTTGGCCACGGTGTCCAAAGGGGAAGTAAAAACATCAAAAATGGCAGTTGCAACCATGTGACTGAACTCCCACTTTTTGTATGTTTGTACTAAGGGCAGAGGCTTTGATTGCATAGTCACAAGTGTCATCTCGACTTTCTGACACACATACCCTGCAGATACTATTGCCTGCGTCCCATCTCTGCAAAATGGATTCATGGATGTCTAAACAAGAAATTCTCTCATTTCTCCTGCTATATTCCAGGCAGGCATGAGATAAAATGTTGGTCCTCCTCTAAGCATATTATGCTTCAGAGATATTTAAATGGAGCAAGATAAATATACTCCACTTCCTTTTCTAAGTCTTCTTGATGTGCCAAAAGAAGCCAGAGGAGAGAGTAACTGGAGCTAACCATAGGCCCTTAGCTGATATTTAATAACATGTATAGGAATATGAGTGACATTCTGATTTTTTAAAAAAAGAACTTTGATTTAACTATTCTGATGCTTCAGTGACTGAAAAATAAGACAACTGTATGAACCAAAAATTTTCAATCTTCATGTTATGTATCCAGAGCAAAAAAGCATACAAGGATGTATTTTTAAAAGTAATATTTAACTGAGGCTTTTTTGAATTAGGTAACAACTACCAATTGAGTTTTTTTTCATTTACTGAACTAGAAACAGAGTTCAGTAGAGTGGGGTGGGATGAAAAACTAGTTGAAATTAAGAATATTTAGTACATCTCCAATAAGAAAAGTATATTTGGATGAGGAGCCTGGATTTCCCATTTTCTTCTCCCAAATATATGTTGTTAGTGTGAGAACTACTATATAATTTCTATAAACCTCTGAAGAGGCAAGACAAAAATTAAGCCTAGAAGAGTTTCACTTAAAATAATTTGCAACTGCTTCTAGGCTATTATTAGGCTTTCAAGCAATAGTTTATACTGCCAGTTTGGGCTGGGTTATGTGCCAGGAAAGGAGAATACTTTCCTTAATCACTACCTCTGCAAGCAACTTGTGTGTATAAATGCCAGAATAAAGGGAGAGGAAGAACCCTTCTGCACACAATTATTCAAGCAAGGTTTTGCATCTTTTCTTTTTCTTCAGTGGTCAAAGTTTTAGGATCTGCATGCTTCTGTTCTATACCACTGGTAAGAAAGCCTGGTTCAGCATTTAAGTAAAAATAATTGAATAGAGAGAGACAGTTACCTGTAAGTAGTCTGACTGGATAGCAGTTTGCAGGTGGTCTTTGCACAGTTCATAAAAGACATCTGAAGTCATGATTTGAGAAAACTCCTCACAGAGGAAATGCAGGGCTTGACGGTGTACCCACTTGGAGCCATAAGGCTGGGAGCTCCACTTGAGAATGGCAATTAAGGTTTCCAGCGAGATGCTCTCAGCGATAATATCCTCACAGCCTACAAAAAGAACAAATACTGTTTAATGAGGTTTACCTGTTCAAGAACAAACTGCCATTCTTCAGCAGAAGTTTTGTGATTGCCAAATTTAATATACAAAACTACAATTGTCCTTTTAAGAAAGATTCTAAAAAAAATTGGCCTATCAATATGTTATTTACACAGCTGCAACAGGCATAATGTCTCAGAAGTAACTACAGGTAGTTCTCATTTAGTGGCCACAATTGGGACCAGCAACTTGGTTGTTAAGTGAAGTGGTTGTTAAGT